GAATAAAGACTCAAATTGAAGATTTCACAGACTGACTGCTTTTTTTATTTTTTCAAACTGTATTTATATGGACTATTATCATATTCTTGAAAGTAGGATGGCTTCTGGTCATGGGTCATATGACACACGGGGCGTATAACGCATAGGGCGCATGACATTCACGTTTTCAATGCTGTCTGTGTTTTTTACGATTTTTGTTATGTTACAGATTGTTTTGTATGCGTGTTTTATTTGTGTGTTCTATTTCTAATTCTATTCTGTGTGTTTAGTCTGTGTGTTCTAGTTTCCTTTGCTGTTTTATGTTCTTCTTTGTAGTCATTGTTAGTAAAACCAATAGGTGATTAGAGGAGAGATCATCTATTGTTCTGACTTTGTGCGAGTATGGTGTGTTTGCAGATCTGCAGTTTGGTTGCCTGTGTGTAGAGCTGTGGAGAATCTGATAGTTACTCGCTTCTTCGTGGATTTTAATTGTGATTCTATTGGTATATCTGTTTTGTTCTATATTTGGTGCTTCGTGTTGAAGTCACCTTCTATAATATATTATTTTGCCCCGTTTAGGCTTGTGATTAGATCCAGTTCTGCTATCGTTATCCTGTTGTTCGGTGAGTGCTGCTCCTATGTTAAATTGAGTGAGGTTTTAATTCTGATTAAGATGAATTTTCATTGATTGTGGAATGGTTTGATGGGGATATCTCGCTGGATTACAAGTAGAAATTTGCCTCTGGGTGGTTTCTCGTATTCTGGGGTTCTATGTTTTTTGATTACAGTTAAGGATGTTAAATGTGTGTCTGTTGGTGTAAGCCAGGTCTCAATTATCATGGCTATATCTATGTTATTTTCCTCTAAGAATTTCCGTAGTTCTTGGTTTTTATTTTTTATGCACGTGGCATTCCATAAAATGATGTTTGCTGGAATTTTAATAGCTAGCTTCCAGCTCTTTTACTATTTGAATGGTCGCTTTGACTTTGTCCAGATTTTTTGTGCACTTGATGTAGTGTTTTTGTATCAGAGTTATGATTTTCAGGAATAGGTCTAATTGTAAGTCCGTCGTTTTCATTTTCTGTAATGTATTATTTATATTACTGTTGTTTTCTGGTGGCGTCGGTAGTCTTTGAGATGGAGATTGCCGAGCGACTACATTTGCGTACGTTTCATTGCCTGCACATGTATGTTTGTCTCTGGTTTTTGACGCGACGCTGGTGTATTTTTTATAGTTAGAAAAGCTTCTGGACTGGATAGTAGGACTGGTTTGCTGTTGGGTTTGTCTTTTTTTTTTTTTTGCCAAAAAGGTGAGCAGTGACAGACATTTTGCGTAGTTCGCCGAGTGGTTCTCTTTGTAGTTCGCGCAAGTGAGAGGTACACGAAGAGTTTTGGTGCAGTCTTTTCTGTCATGTGCCCCACATTTCACGCAGATTGTCCTCTTGTTACAGTTCGTTGAAGTGTGGGCTTGGCAACAATAACATTGGATTGTAAGTCTTTTTGACTCCAATCTTTTCCAAACTTTTAAATTTTCTATGAATCTAATACAAAATTCTTCGGTTGACTTGTGCTGATGTACCCGATGCGAAAGTTCTACATATTGGATATTTTGTATGTGTTGGCATTTCTGCGCTTTGTGAGGCCAAGCCTTTGGCTTTTTAGGCTTTTATTTATTCTTACTACCAGTATCAATCCTTTTAAGACTATTGACATTGTTTTTCAGCCAATGGTGTAAAGACAGAACTCTATGTTTTCTTTAACACAGATAGCTTTAAAGTCTGTGTAGCCTTTTTGATTCACGAACATTATTTTTAGTTTATTAGAGGTGAATTTTGCCTGGAAGGCATTCTGATATTTATTCCTAAAGACTTCTAACAATTTTATATGATTTATATTCCCATATACGTATATGAATGGGGTTTGGTTATCTGGAGTCTTTGGCTTGTAGAGTCGAGGTTGGTTGGATTGTCTGTATTGGTGTTCGTATCTATGTGGGATTTTTGCTTTTGCACTTTGTGCTTTTGCTTCGCGGTCATTATACAATACGAAAATCTTTTTTTTTTTTGTTGTAATATTTGGATTTATGATATCCATATCTTCTTTTTCAGCGATTTTCACGACTGATACAGAGTCTGATAGTGACGAAGACCGCCTTCTTATAACAGTTTTGCTATAATCATCGTCGACTTTCCTTTTAACTGCTGTCCTTTTAACCTTTTATTTTCCTTTTAACCTTTTCCTTTTAACCTTTGGATATTTTTGCCTGCTGACATGCAGGCCAGATTGGTGGTTGTGGAGTCCGAGTGATCAAGCTGTCCAAGCCTGGTTTCTATATGGGCTATCTTCAGTGTAGATTTCCTCTTCTAAGTTACACCATGTTGTTGCACTGTATATTCCTGAATGCTCATGACTGACCACTGGAGGTGGAACGTACCGCTCTAATATCTGCTTGCGTCCAATCTGCTCTACCATGCTCTGAACTCATCTAATAGAACAAACATCATCAACTGTCACAGGGCTTTCTTTTATGTTTTCCCGTATTTTATTGTTAACAGTTCCTAGGTCTTCTCTAGCCCTATTATCTGCATTAATGAAAAGTAGTTTAATTCTATTTTGTTGTTTGTTTTGTTATTCATGTAGTGTGGTTTGCAGGAAAAGTTTCAAAAAAATCTACATCTATGTATGTTTTTTTTGTGTTTTTTCGTGTTCCCTACGCGCTGCTGAGTACGTGCTTGGGTAATCTGATTTTGATTTTTAGTAGTATTTCGTTATAATTACCCATATTCTTTATAAGTGAGTTTGGGTGATTTAGGTAGTATGTTCGGAGAGAGATTTTAGGATGTTGTGGATTGTGGACATTTTTGCTAATTTGTGGAGTTCTGCTATTGCCGTGTCATATGGTTTATTTAGGATTATCCTCAGGAATTTATTCTGGAGTTTTTGGACTTCGCTTATATGTGATTTGGCTGCAGCAGCCCAGACTTGATGTTCGTAAGTGATTATAGATCTCATGCATGTCTTGTAAAACTTTATACTTGATTTTAGTTTGTTATTCATTTTGAGTCGGTATAATGTTCTTAGTGCGGAGTAAGCAAGGTGCCCTTTTTATAACCATAGAAGGCAATCGCCTGTGCCCATGTTATTTTCTTGTTTATTATTCTTATTTTCTAGTCTGTTATTTCTAGATATTTTGCTGTGTTTGACTATGATACTCTGTGTTCATTTATTGTGATGTGTTCCGCTATTTCTTGTCTTTTGCGTGTAAATGTGATAGCCTACGTTTTTCCCGGACTGATCTTCCTCTTATTTATTTCGTCTAGATGTTTTTGTACATGTTCAATCGCTTTGTCAGGTTGCCATGATGATGTGTATATCGCGGTGTCGTCCGCGTATATGATTGTATGTGTGTTTTTTGATTTTGGTAAATCATTTATGTATATTGTGAATAGTCATATTGGCCCTATAGAGCCTCCCGTTTGCTTTAGTGGTGAAATTAGTTTCATTTACCGTTACGAAGAATTTTCTATTTAATTAATCTAATTTTCTAACAGGTAGCTTTTGATTAATTTTATTTGTTAGATGGTATTTTGATTTGACATAGCTTGATCATTAGTCCGGCATGCCATACTGAATCAAATATTTTTTATATATCCAGGAATATTTAATTGAGTTATTCTGTTTTTATTGGATCCTATTATTGTGTGTTCTATCACTCAGTAGTAATTGTGGTATGCAGGAGTGATTTGTCGTATTGTGATTTGTGAAATAATGTTGTTTTGGTGTTACCTTTTTGAAAATTTTTCTTAGTATGTTAAGTAAATTAATGCGTCGATAGTTTTCCGTGTTATTCTTTCATTTCCTTGGTTTTGTCATTTTTCATGCTGTTGAAAAGTATTCTATTTTGCATATGACTCTTTTAATATATAATATATTTGTACTATTAGTTTTCTTGGCAG